CACACCAAATACAAGGGCTGAAGTCACTCAGTATAAACACCACCACACGACACAAGGTTTCACTTTCAACTATTCAGAGTCATCCCCACACCATTCAACACAATACAACCACCACCACACCACTGCTGTTGTGAACTTCAGCAGTCGAAAAACTCTACTTTCAGCACACATACGAGGTAAAAACATAGAAGAACAAGGCTGATATGCATACTAATCACTTCAAACCTCCACAAAAAAATATTTTGAACCAAAACACAGCATTTACAGTCCGCTATTTGGGCAAAAAACAGAATTGCTCATACCTGTCCACAAACAGCTATCTTCGTATCACAGAATAGAGGGCATCTAGTACACAACCTCAACGACCACCACCACAGTAACTGGAGGCATACTCACCTCCAAAACCACAAAACGACCACTCCTTTTTGGCCTCTTGTCGAGCTTCCACTCAGGCTAGAAGAAAATCGAAGAAAGCTGAAATGGTTGGTGGCGAACCCAGGAAGNTTAAATAAAATAGACCTTTCACTCTCAAATAGATAAACCCAAATGACCAAAATACCCCTGATTTGTGTATTCTAACACTTCCCCTTAAGTTGGAGAGTATATGTCATATAGTCCCAGCTTGTCACAAATATAATCTACTCTGCCCCGAGACAATCCCTTTGTAAAGAGATCTGCCCACTGATTTCTTGAGTTCACATGAGATGTAGTTATTACGCCACTTATCACTTTCTCTCTCACAAAGTGACAATGTGAACAACAGTTTGGTTGTCACAGTATAGTCTCATGGGTTTGTCAACCGAGAGCCCCCTCTCTTGTAGCAAGTTCTTCAACCATACCAGTTCACATGTGGTATGAGCCATAGCTCTGTACTCAACTTTTGCACTACTCCTTGCCACCATTGTTTGTTTCTTGCTCTTCCAAGTTACAAGATTGCCACCAAGGAAGGTACAGTACCCTATAGTTGATCTCCTGTCTGATATAGAAGCAACCCAATCAGCATCTGTATACCCTATTATTTCAAGAGTCCCTCCACTTTGGTATAGAAAACCACGACTTGGAGCACCCTTCAAGTACCTAACAATCCTTAGAACTGCTTTCCAATGAGGAATCCGAGGATGTTGCATAAATTGACTCACCGTACTCGCAACAAATGATATATCTGGTCGGGTAATAGTCAGATAATTCAACTTTCCCACCAACCTCCTGTATCTTCCAGGATCATCAAACTCTTCATTTGCATCAACACTCAACTTGACATTAAGTTCCATAGGAGTCTCTGCTGGTTTAGCATCTAACAGTCCTGTTTCTTCAAGTAGGTCAAGAACATATTTTCTTTGACATAAGTTAATTCCATGTCTTGACCTTGCAGCTTCTATTCCTAGGAAGTATTTCAGCTTACCCAAATCTTTCATATTGAAGTGGTCCTGTAGGAGTTTCTTCAGCTTGTCAATCTCGTTACTGTCACTCCTAGTTATGACAATATCATCCACATACACCACTAGCAAGATTTTCCCATCTTTTGAGTCATGGCTGAACACAAAATGGTTTACCTGACACTGTTTCATCCCAAATTCTTTCACTACTTCACTGAACCTGCCAAACCATGCGCGTGGAGATTGTTTCAGTCCATAAATTGCCTTTTTGAGTCTACAAACCTTACCATCCTCCTCCTGAGCAACAAACCTTGGCGGTTGCTCCATATACACTTCCTTAATGAGATCACCATGTAGGAAAACATTTTTGATGTCTAGTTGCACAAGAGGCCAATCATACATAGCAGCTAATGAAATCAACACCCGAATTGAACCAATTTTAGCCACAGGAGAAAATGTCTTCATATAGTCTACACCATACAATTAAGAATAGCCCTTGGCCACTAACCTGGCCTTCAATCGCTCCACACTGCCATTTGGAAGATACTTCACTGTGTAGACYCACTTACACCCAACAACATGCTTACCAGGAGGAAGAGCAGTAAGTTCCCACGTGTGATTGTGTTGTAGAGCAGGGAGTTCCTCTTCCATGGCTTGCTGCCACCCTGGGGAGGTAAGGGCTTCCTGGACAGTCTTGGGAATGGAAACAGATGATAGCAATGATATAAAGTTGCGATGAGAAGCAGAAAGGTGAGCAGCTGAAACATAGTGTGAAATAGGATGAGAAGTACAAGTGCGTTTATCTTTCCGTAGGGCATTAGGAAGATCAAGGTCTAAGGGAGAAGAAGCAATGATAGGATCTGTCGACGAGGGCTGAATTGGAGGAGGGGCTGGTGCTCTTCTGTGAGTATACACTTGTTTGATTGGTGGCCTCTCAGTAGTAACTGGCATGGGAGGTGAATCTGCAACTGGAATGGAAACCACGGGAAGGGGATCCGCAACAGGGATGGGAAGAGGAACTATGGAGGAAGGAGAAGAAACCACAGTATCCGAGAAAAAAGGAACAGATTCAAAGAAGGTGACATCGGAACACACAAATGACTTATGAAAGTTAGAGTTATAGCGCTTATACCCTTTCTAGGTCCTTGAGTAGCCAAGGAAGATGCACTTAGTAGCTCATGTATCTAATTTGTCTAAACCAGGCCCCAAGTTTGAACACAACAAACACATCCAAAGACTCTTGGGGTGAGAGGAAACGGAGATAAGGTGGGAAACAACACCGATAAGGGGGATTGACTTCCAAGGATGGACATGGGCATCCGATTGATGAGAAAACAAGATGTGAGGATAGCATCACTCCAAAAATGCTTTGGGACATTCATATTAAGCATCAAAGACCGAGTAGTTTGAAGGAGATGTCGATTTTTTCGTTCAGCTACACCATTCTGTTGTGGGGTGTAGGCACAAGAAGTTTGATGAAT